TTGTTCTACGTTGTTCAAATACATTGCTGTACGACCGCCTTGAGCAGAGAGGCTATGATCCGCATAAGGTGTGTTTCTTGTAGTCCGCAAAGAATCTATGGCCAAAATCTTACAGATCAGAGAAAATATCGAATGCGAGATTTTTGGATCATTGTTGGAAGAGGCGAAAGATTCGTATAAAGAGGATATTATCCATGAGTTAAAGTCAGAAACCGTCGATCAAATGCATGCCAATGTTGATTACGTTTGTCAGTTAGTTTCAGAATGGCATCCGGCTCGGTAGGCCATAGTTTTTTATTGTTACTGCCCACTTAGTTACTTGTTATCGTTGAAATTGTCATTAGACATGCTTGTGCTATTTTTTGCTTGTTTTTGGAGAACGTTTTTCTTTGCTGTTACTGCTGAGCTTGTTTTCTTCTCTGCTATCATTTTCGTGCCTTCAACTTGTCAGAGATTATCTCAGATTGCATAAAAGTTCTATTTGTTGCTTGGTTCGATATCTTAGGTTGTTATCCTTAATTCCGCTAAGTCTGCGAGGAGAAAGCACAGTGTGCAATTACTGTTCACAAAATTTTTATCGGAATTAATCTTGTGTAAAGTAAGCGATTCAGAGGGTTGTGATAGTACCCTTCGGGTGTACAGAGGGGTCGCCGAGTTTTTGCAAACATTGACTTTTAAGTTTCTTCATTACTTTGAACAAGCCACACTAACAGGATGCTCTGATGTGGGCAGCCGTCATGTAGAGATTTTCCACTTTTGCTCTATGCCTCTTGAACTCTCTTCTTTTGACAACCTTGGGTGAGCTCACATCCCACCTTTCCAGAAATTGGGATCTTGCGAGCAAAACTAAGAACAGTGAGAAAGACGAACTAATTACAATAAATCTTCAATCTCCGCAGCATGATGCGATTCAATGCGAATCATGGACTCCAAAAAGTTGTTATACCACTTCTGGGAATTTGCGCCTTAGAATTAGAAGTAAAGCTTGAAATCCTTCGTAAATTTGTGAAAGCTCTTCATCGCCCTGAATGGGCTAGTCGTAAGTTTAATGAAACTGACAGCTAATAGATGCAACTAAGTTATACTGACAATTGTGCGAAAAAATTCCATTGAGCTTGAATTTCGATTCTGATGTCTCGATGGCATCTCACAAAGCAAAATGAAAATGAAAAGAAGCGTTTTTTCATAAAAAGGTTCGGTATACAAAACTTCCTTTCAGATGTGCCAAATGTGGCAGCGAATTCGGTATGGCGTTCGTTGGAGAC